GAAAGGGCGAGCATGTTTGGTGTGATGAGGATTCGAACCCGCGACCCTCAGATTGCGAGTCGAACATAACTTTGAAAGTTGCCTACGATAATTGTAAATCATCAATGGTGTAACTAATTTCCATTCAAATGAGAAGGAAAAAATAATAATAAAGGAGCCCATAAATTTTCTAAGTATATCTTAAATGTAAAATAGTAAAAGTAAGTTTAGTTATGAAGATATTCAGCACGTGAGCTAACGACTGAATAAAAACCCTGTTATAAACTTTAACAAGTGAGTTCGCGAGAGATAGCTGACAACTATTGTAGGCGGTTATTTCTCGTTCTTGTGTTTCTGTAAATACGGAATATTGTCATTTCGTATTTAGATTCTTACTTCGTCTAGTTCTTTTATCCCGATTCCTTTACTTATTTGAATAATTGTAAACTGTGATATTTATCTTATATTGTTCTTTAATGTTAGTATCAAATACTGTGTTTTAGAAAGATATAAATTTTGTTTTGTCATTGTTCGAAAGTTTAATTTTTTACTTCTTTGATACTTGTAGATCAATAAAAGTATTTTGAGAAAGATGGTAGGTTGTATGCATAGATGGCGCTATAAGCAACTTCAAATCAGAGCTTTAAATACAATTGCCCCCCAGTCGCACAGCGATATATCTGCGGACTTATACCACTAAAAACCGGGTTTCGATACCCATGGTGGATAGAGCACAGATAGCCCTTTGTGTAGCTTTGTGCTTAATAACAAACAATAACATCAAATACAATCAAATATAATCTTTAGTCTCACGCAGGTTAAAAGGTTTGTTTGTTTGTTTTTTGAATTTCGCGCAAAGCTACACGAGGACTATCTGCACTAGCCGTCCCTAATTTAGCAGTGTAAGACTAGAGGGAAGGCAGCTAGTCATCACCACCCACCGCCAACTCTTGGGCTACTCTTTTACCAACGAATAATGGGATTGACCGTCACATTATAATGCCCCCACGGCTGAAAGGGCGAATATGTTTTGGTGGGATGCGAATCGAGCGTCTTAACCACCTGGCCATGCCAGGCCCAAGTTAAAAGGAAGATTGCTTAATCTTCTAACAACCTTGATGATTAATTATTTCGTCCGAATTAATTAATTTTACATCAAAATAACTTCCAGACAATACACAATCGAAAGAAGAATTATAGATCGTAGGTAGCTTTTGAAATGTGTTCATTCTTTATTTGTACTACTGGGTGATTTGAATAACAAAACGTTTGCTTTTGAAAATTACTTCTCGAACAGAAAACATCACGTCGTGAATAGACAAGAACATAAATTAATCACAAAATACGAATATTTCAACAGCTGAAATAAATCTTTTGGTTACACTAGTGGAAAGATGTAAACGAGTAATATGCGTGGTGAAAATTGTAGTACAAAATTCAAATTACGTTGTTGAAATAAATCACTAAGATTAAAGAATAAATTACAATATTTATTTCCATAAAGTTATTGATATACAAGGTTTCAAGTTATAGTGACTTTTGCTCCAGCTAAAGTCAAAACCCGCTACAGGAAGAACGGGACTTATTAAAAACTTTAAGGAAATATGAGTTACACGTCAACCTAAAAATCACAGACAGTAGTAGCCATAATAAAAGGCTTAAAAAGTATATCAGTTACAGATGAAACTTCAAGAATATATCGTAATATGTATAAGGTTCTAACATGTGGGTTCATGAATTTTCTCAGCATAAGGCCACTCAGAACATTCCGCACCCCTAATCGGGCCCAGCGAAGCTATAAAAACTGACTACCTAAGCAGTATTGTGCATTTATGTATTAGTTATGTTCTCCCTCAGACAATTCTGCGGCACCCAGTTTGGAAACTCCTGTTCTAGCAGACTGGTGAAGGTTAAAAATACCAGAAAAATATCAAGTTTCGGAAAAATTACTTGTTGAATGTTGAACTCTGTAATCAGTATAAATACTAATAACAGGTAAAATGATAGCAAACAAGACAAAAACAAACTTACATGAGATTAACGAACATAGAAGAAGTTGATGGACTTAAGGTACACAAAATAACTTTACCTCACGACAGTACAAAAAAAACAACCTCAAAACTAAAACAAAATCGTTATATCAAATTCCAATATCTCGATAAAACCCTGAAACTTTCGATATGGGGACATATCATCATCAGTGAAAAAAACAAAATATTGTTTCACAGAATCTCACTTATTGTTTTGTTTCAGAGTTTCTCACAAATCTTAACAAAGGCTATAGACTCGTATTGACCCCCTTCCTCTGGCTCAGAGGTAAGTTTGAAGGCTTATATCACTTAAACCTGAGGTTTGAAACGTTATGATTTAAAAATATTTAAAAAAATATATAATAGCTTTGTTAATAAATGTGATAAAAAAAATAAAGACTAGAAACAAGTTCAAATTATAGAAAAGTAACTAGATGAAATAAATATTTAGTAGTTCATAAAGTTAATAACAGATGACGCGACATGTGCAAGAAACTGAATAATTCATTTATCTAAAGGATTTCGTAGCCACACGTGCTCTAAAATATTAACAGTTTCAAGCTTTTTCATAGAATTAATTGAATTAATATAAAATTATGGGTTAAACTAAAGCCTGATTTTTAATCAAATCTTTTCATTCCTTTCAAAATTCCTAACATCACTGTTACTCTCATTGTAATATTTTGATTATGTTTCCCGTATTTGTTATCTAATTTTTTTGCATCACTTGGTGTATTGTTTTTAGATCATAGTAAATTTTAAAGTGATGTATTCTCACTCAGTCTCGGTGTGTGTGAAACAGACTTACACTGAGGTGTAAAAACACTTTAATATAGATTTTAGCAGCCTAAACCAAGTGAAATAAAGCATTAATAACGATATCGCATAAACTATAGATATAATTTAATACGGTTTATTAATGAGTTTCAACTGGAAATTAACAGGATTTATAAAACTTTTTCGTTTATTATTTAATTATAGTGAGTGTGTTACGAAATTTATTCATCTATAAGCTCGAATGACGTTCTAAAGGAGATCGCATCAGTTAACTTAACACGACTTTAAAATGAACAGTTTTTTACTG